CACAATACACCCTTAAGAAAGTATAAAGAAAATGCTGTTTGGTCTTTCAGTAGGTGGAAATTTGAAGCCCTTCTAAAGGAAGACTTTTTAGTGCTCCACTAGTATGTATCTTTTCTTACCTTTTTTTTTCTTTTAGCAAACAAAGCCTTATACTGGAAATAACCACTGAAATTCCTGCATGAACATGTAACATCTTTCTTTAAAACGGGGTTTGCTTCATTTCAAGACTTCCGATGTCCTTGTAGTCATGCTAATCTTCACGGGAAATTTCTTTTATCATTATTTTAATAATAAGCATTGCTGCAGTTTTTGACATTTGACTATATATAGCTCTACATATACATCTGACTACATGTATAGTAGCTCATGTCCTCTGTGCAGCATTAGGGCTGGGAATTGAGACACTCATCCGTGAAGTAAGTATCCTGGATATAAACTATATAAGCAAATCAACTGTGTGGTCTATCATGCTGGTAAGAACAGCTGGTTTGAGCAAGAGGTTGCTGAATATGATAAACATTTAAAATATAATTACTAAGAGTGAATATAAAAGCATACGATGAGTTACGAGGGTAGGAGAAGCACAAGACCGTGCAAGGATGTCATGCGTTTTCTATTGAACGTGGTTTGCATTTATTTTGCTAACTTACATTCGAAAGTGTTTTTGTATTAAAGCTTCTTCAGTAAAGCTAGGAGCTCAGAAGCCCACCCACTTCACCGCCAGGTCAGCAGTTCTCTTTCCGGCTGTCTGTGGTCAGCAACTTCTCAACAGAAAGGGGGGTTTAGAGCTGGGGGCGGAGGGACCTCCCTACTGGCTGCTGGGGGGGAACTGGTGCCTCGTGCCCACGCAGGGCAAGGGGGCAGAAGGGGGATGCTTGAGCTTTAATTTCCTCTATTGGCACTCCATGGCTTTAGCGGTACCCGAGCTGTGTAGCACCGGAGCGCAGCAGACATCTGCGTACTGCGGGATGGAGGCGGTACCAACCAAGGCGGGAAATAAGGGGGGCTATTTCCAATCAGTTTACTTCACTGTACGGGAAATCTCCCCCCCATGAATCCCAGGACCAGCCATAGATCGTGGTTAAATACACCAGATCCTGGTGACAAAATGCTCTTGATTTATCAACGGTCCACATACCGTCCCGCTTGGTACTGCCATGTTTGCACCGCATTTTTGTTGTTTGAAAGTAGTAAGCCTACACCGAGGATCTTGCCAGCCAAGGTGGCAAAGGAGGGCGCCCTGCTTCTTTGCGGTGTCTCTGTCTTGTTTAATTTCCCATTTCTACAGCGTAAATTCAGAAGGAGCTGCTACCCTGTTCAGCTGAACCGCCTGCCTGCCACAGGAGGCTGACGCTCCATTCAGCCCACGCAGAGGCCAGCGACTGACGTTAACTTCACTCCCATTTTCATTTTCCATTCAGTGCTTTCACAGATCCTCCCAGGCTGAAGTAAGCTCGTTAGTAACTCAACGGTATATTTTTATGGGTATTTTTTTTTTTATTCTTGTCACATTGTGAGTTAATTTCCCCTATTGTGTAATCTGCTGGAGTTTACCCTCTATTCTACAGCTTAAGTTTGACCTTCAGTTTGGAAAACGTATTTCAGTTTATTGAAATTTTTCATTTTAGGTCGGTTTCTTCAGAGCCTCCCATTTTTTAGTCATTCACTTTATTTACTTCCCTCTTCCCTCCTATTTGTTTTCATAAATTTATAGCACCCACGGGGCTTGTGCTGGGGGGAGCATTTTGCCCTGGAGAATGTCTTGTGCTGTGGTCGCTTGTATCACTGTGGCTTTTTAAATTTAAGTTGCATGTTACTGGACTTAATGTCTCTGGAGCAGTTTCCCCTCTGGAAGAATTAGGTTCCGATACTGCTCTTCGATATTTTGTCGCCTCAGATTGTTTGGCAGCCTGTCTGTACGTGCCCACCGCTTCACTAAGCAGCTGCTCCTTTCACACCTCCCCGTGGTGGGCCGAGGGGCTTGGCTCAACGCCATGGAGGCTGAGGACTCCCGTGGGTGTCGGTGGCCTTTGTGCCACCTTCAGGATACCCGTGGTGTGGTTCCACCAGCGCGGGGGGTTCCTGCAGCCTGATTTTCGCCATCGTAAGTTTTGCACACACACGTGGGCTCCCCACAATTTTTTTCAAGTGCCATCTTGCATAAAATTCCACCTCTGGCTGCATCTGCTCCTCCGGTTCAGTTTGCCCAAGTAGTCCCGTCCTACTGCTCTGAAATGTGCGTTGCCCCAGGGACCACTTTATTACCTGTTCACGCGCTTAAAGCTTTCATGTGTGGACAGATGGACATCCTTAGCTGACTGGCATAAACTCCCTGTTTAGCACAGTTATTGGAACATACTCTAGACTTTTTCACAACCCTGGCTTTCATTTCCAGGTAGTCTTTCCAAAGGAGCCGTTAGAACGTGTTGTGAGCGTTCAGGCCGATAGGATGCCAACATTAAAAAGCAGCCTCCAATTTGTAGCAAACTTTAGAAGAAGAGACTGTACTTTAACAATAGTTACTTGCAACAAGAGCACTTGTTCCTCAGTTTGGAGAATGGACTTAAATCTTCAAAATCCTCATACTAGCATGTGAACTTGAAGTGACTCTTGGCATTGCATCCTGTGTATTGACGTTAAATGTGTTTGCAGCTACCTTCAGCAATATGGTACTTACTTATTTGTGCAATTATTCCATACCTACAGATTTAGTGCGCTGGTATTCCAGCTGTTGGCTGTGGACACCTGGCAGTCTGTGAGCTACCTGTCAGAGCCTGGGACCAGCAACAAAGGCGGCGAGCGTTGTCGGTAAGAATCTGCCCCTTTCCTAGAAAATACATGGAGTCAACAAATCCAAGCGTGGTTGGAAACCATGGCTTGTGCGCGTCCCTTAGGTGCATTTAATGCAAATTGTTCCAGAAGTTCTTTGCACCAACAGCCCGAAAGAATGGCTCTCGCGCGAGGGAACTTCTACTGTATTTGACGTATTGTGAAATCTCTCTTAACCTGGCTCTTGTCAAGGTAGTCATTTGAACATTAAATACTTTAACTGTTGTTCTTCCGATACTGTTTGGGAGAAGGGGCGTTAAATTTAGATCCACGTTAGAATACGGGCACATAAGCAAGAGCTTCTGACCTCATGGCAAAAACACGAGACATGAACTTGCGCAAACTTTGATGGTATTGGGGGTATATAAACAGAAACAAAACTTGTCAAATTGCTTTTTAGATTTTTCCCAAATGTGATCTGGTGCCTTTGTTCGAGGTGGTTTTTTTAATCACCTTTTCCTCTCTAGATATGTGTGGCCAGCTACAGTATTATTTTTGCGGGTAGATATAGAAAATAACTTTTCTTCTTGCTTTGCATTCCGCTGGATTCCTGTCAATACGAGGTCATACTCATATGTGGAGGTCCGGCACGGGCGTTTCAGGACCAGTGGCATTATTTCAATTCCTGCAGGTAAACTACTATGCACCTTAAGGGAAAGCATCTTTTGCTCTGAAGAGCAAAAATGTTTTTGCATTCCATGCATCTTCTTGTCACATCTTCTGAAGGATCATCACCACTCTGTTTGGGAACATCTAGCCCTTAGAGGACATCTCGCCTGTCGATTCCAGCAGCACTTCCAGCTATGCAGGAGTTAACCACAACAGACTGAATGATGTGACTAAAGGAAGTCTGCGAGCGAGTCCGCGTTGACAACCTGGACCTGACTGCTTCCCTCTGCCGCTGGCTTGCAGCTGTGGTGAAGTCAAGACAGCAGACAAGGACTGGGCGCTGTGCTGGCGCTGCAGCGGGCGGGGAGCGTACTTGTCCCTGGATGCCGGTTTGTTTTGCTGCAGCAGGTACATACGCCAGGGAGCCCCCGGGACCTGGGTACCAGCCCGCAGAGGGAGGGAGGCACACGTGAAGGGTGCGCTGTAGCCCAGGGCACACACCCAGGCTTCAGCAGTGCAAGTCTCGGCCGAGATTCAGAGCGAGTGGTGGTGCTGCTATGGTGCCCTCGGCACCGCGCGTCTCCAGCAAGAACAGAGGTGCTGTGGAATGAGGAAGAGGAGTCCTCGCTTTAGGAGTGCTCAGAAGTGAACCTGAGCTCCAGCTGCTCCGATAGCTTTACTCTTCCAAAGGCCAGACTGAAAAGGCTGTGAATTAAGCTATTTTGCAGCAACATCCACAACTTCTATCTCATTCCCCACCCCCCCCAAAAGTTGGCTTTTCCCAAGACTGCCGTTCTTTTGAGAACGCAGCTTTGTGGTGTCAGGCATTAGTGCCATTACCTGTGCTATCACAGTACCTAGGAATATCCAGTCATGGAAAGCTGGACGGCACTCTGCTCAACAGCCTGCAAAGGAGGTGATGTTGGAGCTTACTCTGCCCTGTCTAAACACTGGTGAGTAAAGGTGGCAGGCTCTGTGATACTTCAAGCTTTGAGTCTGTGCTCAGATGGAAGTACCTTCGATTTGTTTGAAGCTTGATGGTTCAGAAAGGAAGCCCAAACTTGACAGCAATAGTAGCTGAAACGCTTCCTCTGTAAGGAGTTCCACTACTCCCACAAGCTTTTCCTCCAAAGACGCATAGCAGATAAAAATGGAAAACAATTATGTTAGAGTCTATGAACTTACTTAGAAAACTGAGCACCCTTTAAAATTATGTTAGAGTCTATGAACTTACTTAGTTAAAGGGTGCTCAGTTTTCTGTTTCAGCTAGATTCCCAAGTTAAACCAGGTAACCAAGGGATGACTTGATGAGTCTGTAATGCTTTGTCAGGCCTAAGCAACCACGTAACTAGGCAAGTGTTAACATCACATCCGGGCATGAGAGCATCTACACCAAGTGTTACTCCCGCTTACAGACTGAAAGTGCTGGCTGAAAGAATTCCTGCTCTCGAAGGCAGGGGAGAAAACCCTCATCTCCACTCACAACTTCCCCTGGTGAAGTTGAGTATTATCCCTGTTTTAGCCACACTTTAGCGACAGATAACTTGAACTTCACACAAGCTAGTTTTAAAAATTTATTCTGTAAACTCCATACTGGGTCTTTAGTTCTCCTTTTCCTGCACAGTCTTTGTTCCACGCAGTCTACCCGTACGACGGGCAGCAATGAGACCAACTTTGCGCCCAGCAGGAGCATCTCTCCTGATGGTTGAAGGTTTGCCAATGTGCTGATGGTTACCACCACCAAAGGGATGTTCTACAGGCTGTGGAAAAGGAAATCAAGTCGTCAATATAATTAACAACAGAAACGAGTAACGATGTTTAACAGCAATAAACTGATTGAAGGGAACAAAAAATTTAACTGCTCCACTTTTCATACAGTGCAATAACTATCAAGTGCTGCTAACTACCCCAATTAAATGTGCAATTACAGGGTAGTCTGTGAAGCTTTCTTTCCAGATACATGCCAGACTCCTCCCCATATCAAACAAATCCTTTCTAAACCATAAAAAAAGGAAAGTGAGAACTCTAACTGAAAATAGACTCACATTCATGGCCACACCACGGACACGTGGCCAGCAGTTTCTCTTCGCCTTGTATTTGTGATAGGCACGGCCAGCCTTCAGGATGGGCTTGTCAATACGACCTCCACCAGCAACAATTCCTGAAAAAATTACATTTGCATGTTATCATTCCTGTAACAGACAAGAGTGTGAAAGAAACAGTTTAAGAACAAGACTAATTCCTAATAATATTCAAGGTCTAAGAATAAGCTTCTGAAGACCAGTCTCAAACAATCCCAACTGTGTATTTGCAGTAGTACTTTCCAGACAACACGCACAAGGAGATTAAGCTCAAGCTACTAGCCACACATTAAGTGATCTGCAAGGAGACACGTACTTTAACTACCACCTTTCAATCCATACATACAGGACTGAGCTTAGCACTTTTTCTAAAGCATTACCAGTTTTATTGCTAGAATTTCTTGGGGGGAAAAAAGTTTTGTTAGTGTTACAACTGAAAAAAGTATGAATCGAAAGAGCTCAGTGGACTTCAGAGCCCTCTGAGGTTTAAGAGCAAGTTATTTCCTTATTTATTTAGTCAATTTTACTAGAGTAACAGACCACAGATTATTAATTTTGATGTCTTCTATTTGGATGCAGGGACATTTGGTAACTTCCGTCTCATCAAGACAAGTAAAACTGCTTGAGTCCAACCGTTCTCTCTCTCTCCTTGCACCTTTAACGCTTGCCTGGGACTACATTGAGTGTCAAAAAACAAGTACAGCTGCCAGTCAAGCGTGTAACAAACCTGGTAAGATGTCTCCTTCTCGACAACGGTATTTTTATTCATTGTCAGACCTTCCAGAATACTTCACACAACTGACACCTACAGCGGCTAAGCACACACCTACAGCGGCTAAGCACCTTCAGCGCTACCCCTATAGGCTCAGTCGCTGTATCAAAAGCAGGAAACCATCAATGCCGTTTTCTGCAGAGGTTCTTCCCAGAGGACTGCAGATTTTACAGGCTGAGCGCGCCATTACAGCTTGAGGACATCTACTTTCCTGTCCTCTCACTAGGTCAAATTATCTCCAAGTTTAAGTTCCCATTACCCAAAGTAATGCAGGCATAATATACAAGCTAGGCACCTGCGCACAGACTGTACCGGTGCATAACCCTGGGTCCAGCCTGTAAATTATGCTATTTTCTAGACAATATTGGGAACTGGGGCCCTGTTTGCAAGCTTGCTTAGCAGTACGTAAACTCAGTGACACGACAAGTTTAGTTATCACTCCTTACCAACAACAGCTCTGTTTGCAGAAGAAATCACTTTCTTGGAGCCAGAAGGCAGCTTCACTCTGGTTTTCTTTGTTTCAGGGTTATGAGAGATAACGGTGGCGTAGTTTCCAGAAGCACGGGCCAGCTTTCCACGGTCGCCAGGCTTCTCCTCGAGGCAGCACACGATGGTGCCTTCCGGCATGGTGCCAACAGGTAGAACATTGCCGATGTTCAGCTGAGCTGCAAAGAGCAATCAGAGCATCAACAGCTTCATTCAGGCTCCTGTACTTGAATTACAATCCTATTTAACACGGGCCCCTGTGCATAGTAGAAGGGCACCGCATAAACGCTTCAGTAGCAACAGGCAGGGGCACTTTTTATTGTTTGACTTGAAACACAAGTTTCACGTTCAGTGTAACGGAAAGGCAGGCGAAATGGGACTCTAGACAGAACAATCCAAACACTTGGCAAGAACCGCCGTTAGGCTTGTGAATTAGAACAGGCTGCGTGAGGAGACCACAATCTCCAAGAAGGAAACCTAGGTTTGCTTGAGGCTAGCGGAAGCTACTGCTTTGTGATGGCTCACAACTGCACTTAAACATCCTGAACTTCACGTATTCAGATGACACCTGCTTTACCCTTCTGAAACTGCCCAGGCAACAGTTTCCATCTTTACTCACCTTTCTTGCCGCAGTAAACAAACTGACCAGTATGAATACCCTCAGCAGCAATGAAAAGCTCGGTTCTTTTCTTAAACCGGTATGGGTCACGGAAGGCAATCTTGGCCAGGGGAGCGCCTCGGCCAGGATCGTGAATGATGTCCTGTTGGAACGTAGATGTGCTTTAGAACAGGATACAGCATTTGTCATGCGTTCTGCAGAAATCAAAGAACTAGAAAAACTGGAGATGATTACTACTGAGATAATTCTCACTAGGACCCCCCCCTTTCTCAGCGGGATCTTGATTTCTCCTGACGTGAATGAGTTGAAGATTCACGTTTGTAAGAATACAACCTCAAGTATCTGTATCGCAAAATGACGACTCTGGTTAAGTGCGCTGCTTGAAACTAATCGTGTCTGAACTGTTTTGTTCCTGACATTCTGCAGATGTCACATCTCTCCATACTAAGGAATTCACTTTCACTAGTTGCCCAATCACCTTTGGGCAGAGACAAAGTTGGACACCAGCAGCAACTTCTCCAACTGTTTTCTTAGCATGGAAGTGTTTCTAACCTTCTGATATTAAGTACACTGAAGTTATGTAAGGCCCTAAATGAGGAAGCGCAGACTTACTATTTCTTTTTCTCTTGGGAAAATGTCAATTCTGTTCCTGAAGTACACTGAGGTTCCAATACACATCCGTATATTTAGACTACAGTTCAGTGACTGAAGCTCTTTAAGATGTGTCTATTTTCTAGCAAAGCTCAGATGTTGTTGGTGTCCAGCATTATGTTTTTCCTGCTGTTTTCAACCCTGTCGGGCAAAACCCCCCTTTGTATTACATAAATTTAAGTCAAACCTACCTACCTACATTTTATCATCAAACTCAGTCATGGCGAGTGTGAAGAAAGTTCCTCCTACAGCCTGAAGATGACCTTGCTCTAAAAGGCTGAAGAGACGGCTAGATGTTCAGAGCATCTAGCTAGGTACCCAGCGGCACCGTTTGCAGTCTAAGTCACTAACACCCAAAAAACACCTACAGCACACCTGAACCACTGTTATCGTACCCCAAGTGACAGTACTGCCTTGCCCCCACCGCCGAGTACTAAGATGACAGCTACTACTTAGTGTTTACAAAGTTGGTTTTTTTTTTTTGAAGATGCAATCAACTGTGCGGACAACTCTCCCCACCCACGTTCCAGGAGGTACTGGGAGTTCTGAGGTTATATAAAAGCACGTCGATATCTCTGCACCAGCAAAGCTCTAACAGAAAATTGTACTGCTGTCCACGTGCTGCCAGCTTCTTTATTTAAATGCCTTCATAAATCCGAAGTAGTCTGACGTTTCGAGGAACATGACTTATTTAACGAAGCATGAGAAGCCCGAATAAGGAACCGTCAACGGCTTCCAGCCCAGCTGACAGGACATCAGTCCCCTTACGCAGGCGAGGTGCGGAGGGACGCGTGCCTCAGGGCCCGAGGCACTCGATGACAAGGCCTGCTGAGGGCCCTTCCAGCCGCCCACCCCTCCCGCGGGGCCCGGAGCGCCCGGGGACGGGCACCCGCCGCGGACCCCGCCGCGAAGGGCGC